AGTAAATGGTACTCGTTACAGCAGCGAAGTAATTTTAGCAACAGATATGTAGGCTGACCTTACCCGTTGACATACAGCAACCACAAAAGAATCGGCGATAGCGCAAAGGGCAGCTACCCCTTAACCAAGACACGACTCTCTTGTTTGGCAGATAGCACTTGTCTCTACGACGACTAGGCAGCCTTCACCCCTACTGGATAGAAGGACTGTCTTTGATGACTAAGCAGTCTTCATCCTTACTGGATGGAATGATTGTCTTTGATGACTGAGCAGCCTCCACTCTTATTGGATGGAATGACTCTCTGTTAATGGGCTAATTATACGGGGAGAATTAAAACATGAAACATGGACGACGAAAAAACAAAATAAGAGCCGATTGAGCATCGCAGAAAGAAGAATTATTAGAGAAATATATAAACCTGTTATTGATAATATTACAAATCAATACAGAGTGCGAAACAACCGCGAACTAATTGATTATTATGACCAACTAGATAAAGTAAAAACATAAATAACATCTTATACGTAACACCTTGTAAAGATAATATTGTACACTTTTAAGAACGAACTCCTATTTGAACATTGAAGCGTCAAATAAAATATGTAGTACATAATAAATATTGTGGCATATTTCTTTCATTCTATCCAAAAAATTAAAAAAAAAATAAAGTCAGACATATTGAGATGGATTACTGAATACTATTATAGCACACAAGTAGTTTGAGCTACCGGATATTTAAATACATTAAAGCTTGGTGTGAACATTTTGGTTAAAAGAATAAATTTGATTTTTATATTACACATGTAGTTGACGTTTCTATCTCGAAATTCAGAGTTCTTCTCTAGACACGTACTAAACAAATTTTGTTTATATTGCAGTTTCTTCTTTTTGTAGATTTAATAGTGATATGGGGATATCAGTTTGCTACATATACATAAAATACAAATAGACTGACTGTTGCAATACAGGTCCGTTTCCTCAGTGCGACAGAGAAAACTGGCGAAAAGCAGTCCCTGCATCTCTTTCTAATTTACCAGGTTTATCGAACGCGTGACCTAAATGACCAATGAGAAGGTCACGTGGTCGATAAACCCGTCCCATTAGAAAAAGATACAGATATTGCTTTTCGTCAGTTTTCTCTGTCGCATTGCGGAAACGTGAATGTATGGCAGTATTCAGTCTATTTGTACTATATGTCTATGGTTTGCTACATGCATTTTCGCTTTTATCTTTTATGTGACAAAGTTATCAGCGATATCTAAATAGCTCCAATCCTTCAAAAGTATATGGTTTTATTCTTACATTAATGCTCCATTATATATCATACCTTTTGTCTGTTAATGAACTTTTATTTGGAATTATAGTTTATTCGTCTTCCGGGTTTGGACCGTGTCATTTGTGAGTGACCCAAAAGTGGGTTCATCTCGACGTTTCGCTACAATTGTATGTAGCTTCTTCAGGAGAACAAAAAAGAAAAAGAAAGAAAGAAGAAAACAAAAGAACAGGAAGATGGGTAGTTAGCAACGGTAACTCAGTTACTCAACGCAACCAGAGGCGAATACTAACTACCAAGATGGGCATTTGGTCACAGTAACTCAACTGTTACTGAGTTGAGTTACTGTGACCAAATGCCCATCTTGGTAGTTAGTATTCGCCTCTGGTTGCGTTGAGTAACTGAGTTACCGTTGCTAACTACCCATCTTCCTGTTCTTTTGTTTTCTTCTTTCTTTCTTTTTCTTTTTTGTTCTCCTGAAGAAGCTACATACAATTGTAGCGAAACGTCGAGATGAACCCACTTTTGGGTCACTCACAAATGACACGGTCCAAACCCGGAAGACGAATAAACTATAATTCTGACTCTGGCCGTGGAAGCCTACGATTTCAACTTTTATTTGGTTTTCTTGTTATTGACTATAACACCGTTTTTTTAAGCTAAAAGCATTATTCAATATATTATAATGTGTAATTTCTCTGGCTGCTGACGAACAGAAGTTTTTATTAACTTTTCTTTAATATAATTATGTATGCAGATTTGAATTTTGATCTTCTCACGGTGCTAAAGAGCAAATGTAATAGTTTATTGTATTTTTCCATAAGATTTCTAGTTTTTCACTGTGTCGTGGCTCCTCTTATTTGTATTTTCCTACGATTTACATTAATTCATTTAATTATTATTTCTGAAATTTCAAGTTTATACACAGTTTCTTTTGTTTCGCTTATTTATCTAAGATATGTTATTCATTCTTATCTATCTATCTATCTATATAAGGATTTTTACAGCTGTCGCCGCCTTCCTTCTTTCAGCCAACGTCTCCAGTCCTCTTTGTTCTGCCATTCTCCATCTCTAAGGTCTCGTTTTTCCATGGCCTCGTCCACTTCATCCCTCCATGATCTTCGGGGTTTACCTCTTTTTCTCCTTCCTATTGGGCTCCAATCCGAAATCCTTGCTATCCACCTTGTATGATCTGTTCATTCTTATCTATAGATGTGCTTATTCCCTATCAATTATCTATCAATATTTGAAGTCTGTTTTATTTGTTTTAGTCATTGTAATGATTCGCATCCGTACATAAAAATAGGTCTAAAGCTTGTATTATGCTCTAAACTCCTTCAGTGGTAGTATTACCAACTGCGATTATTGTTCTAAGATATTTAATGTCTTCCATACTTTCGAAATTGAAATTGTTGACTTTAACGTTGTATCTAAATTTACTGACGGTCTCTTATGTTTATGCGCTGGTATTTGGTTTTCACTTCGTTGATTTTACTTGAAACTTTTTTCGTGCTCTCTGGACTTTGTTCAGTATGTCGTTTACATATTTATAGATGTAATCATCAGCATAACTAGGAGCTGCTTTGTACCTTGGGCCGTTAATGGATTACATCGTAAATCGGCGCTGTTTCTATTTTAATAAATTGTTCTTTAATTTTTTGACTATTTAAATCGAGAATCTGTATTTTATTCGACTGTTTATTAAGGCAGAGTTTCTTGGGGCCAATTTCTCTCTCAAGGTTTTGTTTCCCGTATTAATATTACAACAATTTTGCTGGATGCCGACATAGGAAACCCGTTGGTATGTACATACTGTTTCGATATCTTTTTGTCTCGTTATAAAGTGAATATTAGTTTATTAGGAAATATGATATTGTCTAATAATAGTTAAGTTGTTTTGCTTTGCTTTCTTAGACTGCCACCGTCGTACCTTCTGGTATTTGATATTTCAACCGTCAAGCAACAATTCCTATATGCATTAACTTAATGCTGATATCCTGCTTCCCCAATCCAGTTAGCAGTCCCGAAACCAATAAAATTGCTACATTCAAGTTTTTTATTAAGCTGCCCAGAACTATAGGTACGCCTTATTATCTTACTGATGTTAGTGCTGCCCCTTATAAGTGAATAAAATATGAAAGGAAGGTTTTGGTAATTTAATAAGATCCTTGTGTTACAATATAATGTCTCCGAGAAAGTAAAGTAATATCAAAAAGCTATTCGGATTTAATCCATAGCTAAAATATTAGAATGCTATAAAATAATGCTATATATTAGCATTAATAAGTTTATAATGGATACTAAAGTTTGAAAATAATTAGAGCAAGTAATTTAAATTATCAAAGTGCTTATTAAACATAAAAATAAAATAAAATTATATTAACAATTTATATTATAATATATTTAAAAACAGTAGCCAAATATTCTTGGAATTCCTCGATGACTAACCTGGTGGATATTTAAATAAATTTTAAGTTCTAAAATGTACCTGCTCTAAAATTTGAAAATCTACGACTAATACAACTACTGGCAACATCGCAGGAGCTTAGTTGTGTACGCTAAAAGCTGTATACGGATCCCAAAAATGTTTTATCCAGTTACGGAGTCCACTTGATCCGACGTGTTGGTCGGAGTCTACATAAAGCGCTACTCAGATAATAATATACACGGCGTATATTCTCCTGGAGTTAGTATAATACCGTTTTAGTACGGAGCCCACATTAACCGCTAGAAGTATATATATATATATATATATATATTATATACATATAAATGGTTAATCATTAATGGATCATTCAATCCGACGAAATACTTTCTTGCTTGCTTTCGAGATATTTAGGTTAAATCTTTGTGTCGTTGCCTCTGGAAGGGTCCATGTTTCGCTATAAAAAAGGATTCCGCAGCTGCTTAAAATTTATATTTGTAGATTAAACAGACAATTAGATCATGATATGGATTTACGGTGTGGGTGAATTTTTAAAATTGGAAATTTTAGTATATTAACAGATAACGAATTATCTTATGGTTAGTTTGGACTTCATGTATATTATTTTCACATATTTTCCATGGGCGTTGTATGCCACTTCTTTCGTTCGACGTTTGCTCTATTTTAACTAATTTTTTTATACAGTGTCACCCATTTATATTAGAAAATTTGAAGTTAAGGATTTCAATTGATTTTATTTAATCAATAAGTAATAAAAGATGCACTTCGACAAACAATTTTAAATGTATTTTCTAGTACTCATAGCATAACACGCTACTTTTTCATTGAAAATTATACTTCTTTTTATAGATGGAAGTGATAAAGATATTTTTGTAGTATTTAAAGAGGACCTGCAGAATTTCCACCTATTAGCAGATGAAATATTTAATGAGTCTGGTACAGTATGAAAACTAGTTGAACAGCTTATTTCAGAAAGGGACTCGAGTCATATAGTGTAAGTCATCAACTTACTTTCGAGAAGTATGCTAATAACAGTCTAAATATTAAAATCCTTAGTGTTCTCCTTCTTCTTCTTCTTTTTTACATAGACATGACTCTGTCTGTTTTTCAATGTGCCTCCAGTAAGTTGTCATTCCATCGTTTTCGTGGTCTTCCTGCTGATCGTTTTCCTATTGGGAACCGTCTCTTGTAATCTTTTCTATTTTATTTGTTGTTATTTGGCTTATATGATCGTTCCATTCTACTCTTCCATTTCTTACCCAGTTTTTTATGTTTTTCACCTTTCAAGTGTTTTCATCTCTGCTGTTTCTAACATCCTTTTTGTCCTCTCTGTATCAGGTCTTGTTTCTGCCGCGTATGTCATTATTGGTCTGATGACTGTTTTGTAAATTCTGCCTTTCGTTTCTTTTCCGATATTTTTATTTCTCCATATTGTTTTATTTAGGCAGTCTGCGGCTCTGTTTGCTCTATTCACTTGATCTTCCACTTCGGTTTTGAGCTTTCCGTAGCTAGATAATGTGATGCCTAGATATTTAAACACCATCACTTGGTTTATTATCTGACTTCCCAGCTGCAATTTCCATCTAAGTAAATTTAGTTAGTTAGTTCTTCTACTTTTACTTTTATTGTGTTGTTTTGGTAGATATTTTCGATCGTTTTTTTTTTATTCCTAAAGGTATCTCTCTTGCGTACAAATAGTGTACAGTAAGTCTTTTAATTTGACCCGGTCAAATACCTTTGTAAGGTCCACGAAACATAGATATGCCGGTTTGTTGTATTCTAATGATTTGTCTTGCACTTGCCTCACTATAAATATAGCATCGGTGCAAGATCTTTCCGACCTGAAACCTTGTGGTTCTTCTGCTAGTGTTATAATTTCATTCAATTTATTTGTTATTGTTTTTTTTAGTTCGTTCATCTCTTTTTGTTGTCCCCTGATCATTCTTCATATTTCTTTTTGTGTTCTGTAGAAGTCGTGTTCCACCTGTTAAACTATCCATGAGAAACTATGCCAGTGTTCCCCTCTTGTCTAACTAAAGTAATCGTTTCATTTCTAATTCGTTTATTAGAAATACGTTGTATGTCTGTTGTGTTTGTAGTGTTCTGTATTGTAAAAAAGCTTTCTTCTTTTCTTCACATTTTGCCTTGGCTTCTTATTTAAATTGTGGTGTTTTCTTTTTTGATATGTTAGTGTTCGTTACTTTTCTCTTTCAAGTGATTCTGTTGCTTCTTTCCAGCAATTATCTCTGATAGTGTTGTGCAATGATAATTTTTTCTTAAATTTCTAATATAGGTTTTTTCATCTACTTGAACTATTCTGCAATAAAATTACAGACTCACTCTATAAAAAATTATTTTTATATTTAACTCATAGTTCATTATTACACTTTACAGCATATTTTGTTCCAACTCTAAAGATTGCTACAAGTTACTATCAACACTTATATTTTAATGATAGTGCTCTGAAAAATTTATACTATCCACAAATAAACCTTTAAATTTATGGGGAACGTACTTTACAGCTTTCTTACGGCCTTAATTTTTTTTTCATTCGAGAAGCTTGTGCTTTAGGAAGCTGAATGGTTTGTGGGTCAACTTTACTGACATTGCAATTAATATAGTAGTAAGCAGCATTATCATCAGCATTGAGCGTATGAATAAACTTTGTTGTGTGAATATTACCCTTGTTGTCAGAAGAATATTTAAATTAACGATACTTTGACGTATTCAAATATTCTCGCTCTCTAATAAGACATCAGCACTCTCAGTTGAACAGACTCTCTTCTTGTATACGTGAGGCCACCAATTATCAAAATCAATTATACTTCATGTATCTAAGAATTTGACAGTATTTTGGGATTTGCGGTTAGCAAAGTAAATCAATCAATAGCACACAACTGATATATGATGTATTTGGCTGCAATGTCTAATAGGGCGTTTTATGATGCTAAAATTGAGGAGAAAAAAAAACGTTTCATTTTTTTAAATTGGCTATGGCTAACTAGTCTACAAGAAAAGAAGCTATATTATTTGCTACTTATTTTACCTGGCCTTCGTGATATGAGTAAAACTGAGTATTATGAGTTTTGAAATTTTTTAACACAAAAATTGTTCACAACTATCGAAGGTAGTAGATACATCTTTTGCAATGGAACTCTTGGCCACTCTACATTTTGCATAGGTCAAAAATCAAACCAAAAAAATTGTTTTGATAATTCTTTAGAAGTTACCAATAATGATGCAGAAACCTTCTTTGCAGTTGCTATTTTATACGTTATTTCTTACTAACTTTTTTAACTTAATATTACTTTCCGGATACATTATATACAAGGATACATACAAAGCTGTTTATTTTAAAAAGAAATTCTGTACAAGAAAAAATAGGACTTATCAAAAACATTTTAACATTAACCCTAGTGCCGGTTTAGATTTAAATAAGTATTAGGACAAATAATATTAAATATTTTAAATATACATTTTGTATATTTTGTTGTCTTATTTACTTGCGTAACGTAAAAATCTGACATTTTTTGGCAAACACACTGAGTTTACATTATTGTAGTATTTAATAAAGAACGAACAATAATGCAATCCCTAAGAAACTAATGATTTTTATAATGGTTTGGGTTTAAATTTTTGATAGGAAAATGAATTTGAGATAATTTGAAGGCAGTTGATGGAATGTAAAAATCTCGAAATATGTGTAAGAAGATTGGTCGCATTGTATTTCAATATTTCTAAGTCTTCTATGTGGAACATTTTTTATAAGGAAAACTTGTATTCTTTGTATTTTAGAAAATTACAAGAAATTAACGACTTATTTTTCTAGTTGGTTACAAAATGAAAAAAAAAACTAATACCAAGACTTATTTATTATCTTTGATGTAAATTAAACACAATTTCAGTTTAAAATATGTTTAGTTTATTGTTTTGATTTTCATTTTATTCATACATTCAATTAAGAAAGTGTTCAATTTGTATTTTGTGAACGATTTTCGAAGTGGAAATCGAAACGACAAAACAAACATTTTAAACTGAAACTATATTTAATTCCCACTCAAGACAGCATCAATAACATCACAATACAACCAAGACTTTTGTCACATTTTCTGTTTTGTGACAAAGCTACTTTTACAAAAGATGCAATTTTTAATACAAAATATTGTTTATGTTATTCTTCTTATCGTGACAATATTTCCATATTGTCAAAGAGTATAACCATCAGGAAAGGGTCAACATAAATGTACGGACTTATATGAAACCAAGACATTTTCACATGTTTTGTATTGCGACAAAACTACTTTTACATAAGATGAAATTTTAAACAAGCATAGTTCATATTGGACATTGAAGAAGAAAACTCTATCAAATTTTCAGGCTTTTGAGCTATGGCTATACAGAAGAATCGTAAAGATACCATGGACAGATAAAATCGCCAATGAGGAAGTACTGCGGGGACATATAATGAGAAATCAAGGCATATACAAGCTACTTCAATGAATTTTGCAAGGTAAAATAAAAGGAAAAAGGGCCCCAAGACGAAGAATAATATCCTGGCTTGCTAACCTGAGAGCATGGTATAGAAAAACACAACTATTTCGTATAGCAACCAACATAGCCAAAATGATCAGCAACGTTCGGAACGAACAGGCACCCTATAAAGAAGATAGTGCATATTATTATTTTTATGTTGGTAAAATCCTCATATTATACGAGAATATAAACATCAGAAAGGGTTTAGCATAAATATATGGATATTCCTTTAAAGGTGCAAATCTTTTATTGATGTTGGCGACTCTTATTCTATTCAGAGCAGCTTGAAGTAGATCATTTTACTAGTCTATTTCCTAAGATTGCCCTTAATTTTGCCTTGTGGAATTAACTGTAGAAGTCTGCATTTATTGTTACGCATTTTGTGGCCGAAGTAACACAATTTTCTGTTCTTTATGGTGTTAATTATTAATTTGTCTTTTTTTAGCCTCTGGAGAATAATTATATTAGTTATGTAGTGTATATATGAGACTCTTAACATACATTGGTAGCACCACATTTTAAATGCCTCTAACCGTTTTGTGGCATCTTCTGTTTGGCAGCAGCTTTTTAGTCTGTAAAAGAGGACACAAAAGACCTGACATTTAGGAATTCCTATGCGTATATTAACACTAAAAGGTTAGTTACAGAGGATCTTCCTATGACAGTTAAAATAGCTTATGGCTTTTTTAATAACATATTCAATATTTAATATTTTTATTTTGTAGCTACGATCTCAAGTATCCTTAATATTTATATCGGTAACTTCTTAAAATTTAGTTTTAGTTCGTATTTGTAACATGTTTCTAAAACATTATCCATCATCCTTTGGAACACTTGCGGATTATGTGCCAACATTACGGTATATTTTGCACATCTAATATTGTTTATACATTGACCATTTACTGTATTACCATCTTCTGATTCGTCCAAGGATTATGTTGAAGATTTACATTGAGGAAGAGGTATTTGTTCTTTTATCAGATATTCCAATAGATACTACATAGGATCATCGTTATATATGCACCCAAACATCCAATAATTGATATCGTCAGTGTTACCATTACAATTGCAAAGTTCTCTTTCACTTAAATTAAATCTATGAAGATATGCTTTTACAGTAGCATGATTAACAAGGCATATCTTTGGTACCATTGAATATACTCTTCTATTGGGATGGCTTTTTGCAGCAAAAGGCGCAGTAGGTAAAAAGTAGGGTGCATTTTTGTATAAAGGTGGTTACTTCTGTTACAGAAAGTATTTTATTCAATTTTCCAGTTTTCTTTTAATTCTTGTTTATGCAGCGAGACTAAATCACTTCCATTGAGCCAACTAATTTCTAATCCTTTTAAAGCCGCTTCTTTAGCAAAATAATCTGCTTTGGTATTACCCGAGATACCAGAATGTTTTTTTACCCAAATGAAAGAGACTGAATTATTTTTTAAGTAGGTTAAGTTGATTTTCTAAAATTTTGACGATAATACTGTTTTTGTATAAATGCAGACAACGCAGATTTTGTATCCGACAGGATTACTATTTGTTGATCAGAAAGTTTTTCTTAATGGTCCATTTCAGAGCTTGATATATTGCAAACAGTTCTGCGGAATAAATGGAACATTGTTGGTTCAATTTAAATATCATGTGTTCTTGATTGTTTTGGATATACACCGCCCAATCAACTCCCAAAATGGATTTTCATGAATCAGTGAAAATCTTATATGGTTTGTCAAATTTGGCAAGTTGTTTCTGAAGTTGAATGGCGTTGTTATCATCAAAAGTATTAAAATATACTTTGGTCTGGAAATAAAAAATATTGAAAGTAGATTGGAAGAAATTAGTTTCGGCTGGGATTTCTAAATAGGAAGAAATATTAGGAAATGCTATAGCTAAAGTTGGAGAATTTTTATTATGCTACCATTTGTTAACTAAGTTAGATACAGATATGTCGGATATTTTTTATATGAAAGTAGTAGATAAAAATTGTTTTGTCAATATATTATGCTTCCCCATTTTTTTTAAACGACACATTTTTATTTAAACTCACTTATTCTTAACTACGTCAATCTCTTGTAAATATCTCTTTTGGTATATGTTAGTTAGTTTTATTTGTACACAATCTTTTATAAAATCCTAAACCTATTTGCACCTAAACCTGTATGCACAAAAACACACAAGCTGATCTGATCTCTTGGATGCCTATTGGTAACTGGA